GGGGACACCTGGGACAGCAGAGGGACAGCAGGACAGAGCACAGAGAGGCAGGCTGGGGACATCTGGGACAGCAGGCAGAGCACAGAGGAGCAGGCTGGGGACACCTGGAACAGCAGAGGGACAACAGGACAGAGCACAGAGGAGCAGGCAAGGATGGGCCCCCAGGGAGCCCAGCATGTGCAGACTCCCGAGGTCGGCCCCGTCCTACCTCAGCATGGCTTTGAGCCCTGTGCAGCGGATGTCGTAGGACACCGAGTACATCTCGTACATGGTGGCCTTCACGTTGAGGCAGCCCAGGAAGTCCTTGGGGTTCAGCTTGTACAGGTCCAAGGTGACTCTAGCGATTCCTGACTTCTTCGGCTGCCTGCCGACTGGGCCGTACTTAGCACCCTGCAGGGCAAAGAGGAGTGTGAGGGGCCTTCCCCCGTGACGCTCCAACTCCAGGGGTCCGGTCTGTGTTCCCTTCTGTGCTCTTCGTGGACTCTCCTGAAGGTCACTCAAACCCGTCGCCACCTGAGCTAACCAAGTCTCTCAGCAACCCGCAGCCCGACTGCAACTGCGCTCACACGCGCGTAACCACGGACTTTCCCTTCACTCTCAGGGCAGGGCCTTGGGAGGACCTGGACGGCCAGACCCGCTGAACCGTGTGCAGAGCTGCTGTGGCCACAGGGCTGGTGAAAACAAATCCCACTAAAAGCTTCCAGAATGTTCTTGCTGCAGTCATTCATCTTGTTCCCTTCACCCTGTCCCACACCTAAGGGATGAGATTCTGGTTGACGTCTATGTTCAAAGCACAAGAGGCCCAGCTGCCCTTTGGGGGTAGAACGAATTACTCCTCATCTGGGAGTAGTGTTATCACTACTGTTATTATGGTTATTTTTTGGTACTGTAAATTGAACCCAGGTGTGCTTAACCAACTGAGCCACATCCCCAACCCTTTTTATTTTTTGAGACCGTATCTTGCTAAGTTGCTTAGGGCCTGGCTGAGTTGCCGAGGCTAGCCTCAAACCCTCGATCCTCCTGCCTGGGCCTCCCGATTTCCTGGGTTACAGGTGTGTGCCCCTGGGCCCACTCAGCGAATCCTGTTTTAAACTGGTGCTAACCTATCCTCCTGCCACAGCTGATGGCCTCGGATTCCTTTCTGACTTCTGGAAGCTGTTATCAACTCCCCAAATGTCTTCCTCTCGTGTTGGTCTTAAGCCGAAAGGTCGACACAGAACTGACTCACACGGCCCAACTTGGGCACGTGGTTTCTAGGACCCACTGATGGTCAAGGCAGAAAGAAACAATTTGAGCCTTCCTCTTCCCTCAGGGTCCTGAGGCCCAGAGGCCAAGGAGGGGACACCTGGCAGCCACTGCTTGTTGGAGGTCCTCATCTGGTTCACCAAACCCTGACAGGCAGGTAGGAGCTGCTCTGCGGGGAGTGTCCTGGTGCCACCCCCAGAGGGCTCCACAGGCCCTCAGCTGCCCTTGATGGGACACGCCCACATCTCCACGGACTGTGCCTGGGAACGCAGTGGCTTCCTGGGCCACCACTGCAGGACCTTTCCCAGCCCTGCACAGGCACCCCGTGTGTGTCTCCTTTACAAACACACACACCTTCCCATTGTCAAGGTCAGTCACCAGAGAAGCAGGAATTAAGCTGCACACTCAAGGCCTGTGGCTCTGGAGGACGGAAGCCCCTGTGAGGGAGCAGGGCCTACTCATCCTGGAGGCTGTGGGGAGGCAGGAAAGCTGCCAGAGGCCGGGTTCCCCGCCTGTACAGCCTCCTCAGCTGAATTGAGGCAAACTGTGTATTCAGTTGTGTATATAAACCTCTGCTGTCCGGCAATAAGGAGGCTCCTGCTACCTCGGGTGCCCACTACTTTTGAGTTCTCGAGGAGTTTCCGTTGAGTTCTAGAGAGTTCCCATGGGGTTTGGGCAATAAAGTAGTTCCTGTTTGAACCTACAAGTGGCTCGTGAGCTCCCAGTGATTTGTGCCCAGCCA